ATAGACACTTTCTGAAACTTGGAATCACATCAATAATAATGATAATAAATACAGTCATTTTATATTCAGCCTGCCCTTTAACAACAGGTGCTAGGATGTTTACAATAACATCCTAGCATACAATATACAATGTACAATGTACAACATACAATGGAAAAAAGAGCAGCAGCATGGCAGGTGTTTCAAGCTCACTTTGCCCTTGGAAGCCTCATAAACAGCTTCTTCTGGCGAGGGAATGAGAGCAACATCAAAGGAGGCTTGTTTCTAGGACAAAGGTGAAATTGTGAATCTCCCTTCTTAGTTTTGCTATTGGACTCTGCATATTAAGGAATTTTGCATGTGTATTGGAATAGGATTGTTTGGTATTTTCTCAGGAGAAGGGAAGGTTAATGAATAAACTCTTCACAAATATGGAGTCCAGTTGAATGGTGTCTTGTACTCCTTCCTTTTGCAACTTGTGTGGCCAAGCTGGTGCCAAATATATTGCTTTGTTTTCCTTTGGATCACATCAGCAAGGCTGAGAGGTCTTCTCATCTGGGCAGAGTAGGACTGGACCTCCATATACACTGCCCAGGCTTCTTCCCTGGGAAGATCACTTCAGCGCTGCTAGTGCAGCCAAAATAAAGAAATAATTCTTCAGAGGTTTGACTTCACCCCTGCATGCACACTCCATCATCTCTGGAGAAAGACAGGTGCCAATAACATTCACTATTATTTTTCTGTATTACTACAAAATTGTTTGGTTTTTTTATTGGTCTGTTATGTCAATATAAAATTGTTTTTGTAGTGTTTGTCTGAAATGCATCCCTGATCCTTTTTGGCATTCCACTTTGAGCACTGTGTGTGTGTGTGTGTGTGTGTGTGTGTGTATGTGTGAAAGAAACATACAAATAAAATGAACAAATGAATGACAATCAAGAGAGTAGGGTTGGTCTAAAATATAAATATAACATGTGAAAATTCAAGGTGAAGAAGTGCATATTTAAAGTTCATGTGGCAGAAACTATAAAATGGAGGCACTAGACATTACCCTGTAGATAATTCCATCCTTTTATGGCATGGCATAGATAATTATTTTTCTCAGGCATCACTCATGAAACAAACTGGTAACATGCAATTTTTTTTAAAAAAAAAAGGTTATGTGAATTCTAAATGTATAATCCAACCATTAGGCATTTGGGGATATTCGGCTATAAAAATAAATAAATCAGAAATCTATTCACTCTGGAAGTCATTATGCTGCTTCTGCTCTTCAGAGATCCTACCTGTGGAATCTTGTAGAGGTCTATGTTGTCTCTCATATGGAAGGATGTATCAAAGCTAAGTCCCCCAACGATGGCCATGAGGTTTTTCTGGGTGTCACATTTATAGTTGGGGACAAATCTCTGTGATTTGAAGAGCAGGTCTAATGTGCTACGATAGGTCATCCTTGCATCATGATAGCTATCATAGATGTGGAACCCAAGAGTGATATTGGGCAAGATTGTGGGGTTCTCATTGATCTCTTTCACAGCAAATGCTAAGGCAAGTATGTGCTGGTAGAATTTTGTCACCATGCTGCAAATGAAGTAAATTAATATACAAGTCCAGAGGCGAATACTACAATGCATAAAATCAACATTCCATAATGTTGACCATCTTTGTTTCAAATGATTTTTATTGAAATGAAGTTATGCCATCTGTCATTCTTGTTTCTAAGCTAACAGACAACACACAGTTGATGAAACTGTATGATTCATCAGGGCATCTGTGTTCTGCATGCCTTTCATGCCTTTCTCAACCTTTGCAGCTCAGTTGATTTTTTTTTATAAAAAAAAAATCCTTGCCCCTCATCTTTCTCTTTAGGTATCTGAATACTTCAGATATCTCATGAAGTGCTTTCTAACTCATAAATATCTTTTTTGCTCTACTCATTTACATTGTATTATCACGACTGAATTCAGTGGGTGGATGGGTATACATGGATGATGTGTTGAAGATCAGTGGCTCCCTATGGGTGATTCTTCCAATTTTGTTTTATCTTAGTTTATATTTCCAATCATAAATTTAGTTCTTCACATTTTCTCATCAGTCCAATGTACACTTTCCTAATATACTAATTCCTGTAAACACCTCTTTTTAGGTTATTGTGGGTTTTTTTTTTTTTTGCATGAGGTTCTGACATGAGGTATTTTGATCAATGAATGTGTTTTATGTATACTCTACTGCAACACATGCATTTCTGGAAAAATAAATTTCTGGATCATTTTAATCCAGAGTTCTAGTGTTCCACAAATTCAGTCAGGTGGTTTGCAGGATATTTGCATTAAATAGTCATGATTATTTTAAATTGTATTTTATTGATTCGTTTACTTTTTATGTTCTATGTATTTAAATAAATTCCCTTTTATTTCCATGCCATTCCAAATGAAATATATTAAAATAAAAAAAGAGAAATGAAGCAGAAATGTACAATTCAAAATCTAGCTCAGGAGTTTATAAATTTCAATGTACAGTATCAACCATCAAGCTTTCAGTACTAAGGACATGACCAACAAAAAGGAAAAGAGACTTGTCGGTAGGGTGAAGACTCTTACTATGAAACATCAAAAAGATTCTGTGAAGGGTGTTCTCTGAAGAAAACTTCATAGAATACATAAAAGAGTTGAGAAGAAATCCCACCAATGATGAAGTCCCCTGGCTGGTACCACTCATGAGGAACAGGAAAAGGATTTTTCATTGGACACTGCACACTATCTGCTTTGTATACAACAGGCATTTGCAGGGACAGCAACACCAATAGCCACAGCATCCTAGCTTTGTAGCTTTTATCCTCTTCCAACAAATCTCTTAAGGAGAGCTGTTTCCCAGTCTATAGCTGTACTGAAATTATATTTAGATGTTTTCAGGTCATTTTGAAATTATATTTAGATGTTTTCAGATGTTTCAATCATTTTATAGTTTGTGTGTTTGCTGACCTGTTTCTTTTAGCAGGGATCGGTAGTATTGGATGATGCCTGACAATGGAAATAAAAATAGTGATAAATCTCAAAGAGTGAATTGTCAGCTACATATTAGATTCAAAACCTGATAATTGCATGCCTTGATGTATGGATAAGAGTGTAAACACTCATTGAAGTCTTGACTCTTTACAGGTGCAATCAGAAAGTCTCTTAAGATTTTGCCAAGTCAACTGCATATAATTATTTCAATAATTGCTGGAAGAGATAATAATTCTGAGTATTTTGCCTCAGAGTCATACTTTTAGAAACAAACATGTTGGGTTCAATTTCTTTATTCAAATCTGATTACATATTGCCTCTGCCCCTTAGTGGCCCCAAAAGTGGAATTTTTCAAAGCAAGCAAGCTGGAAAGTCGTGGTGAAACTATTTACTTTGTGACTGCAAAGCAGGGATTTCTAAAATTCATGATTTAGATATTACAGCAAAACAGAGCTGACTACAATCAGTTTTCTTATGACACCTTGCCCCAAATTTCCTAATGCTCAAATCACAAGGACTACATCATATAATTAGCACTAAGGACATTAGGAACATGGTTCTCTGCAGCACCCCACAGCACAACTTCTACAGTGCTGAAAGATATTTAGTAGCACTGACTGCAGCCAAAACCAACCCCAATCTGCCCTGTGAGGGGCAGGTTATCAGGCATACCTGTCACTGGTTGACACCGATACTACTCAACCCAGAACAATTCCCAAAATAATTGTGCCTGCCGAGGCTATTGTTAGCTTCAGGAATAATACTGCTCCACATTGATGTTGAGGGGACTTAGAATCCATTGATTCAATGTCTGTATAAACCCCACCATTGCACAATCAGGCGGGAACCTCAACAGGAGGGCTAGGCAGGTCAGCCAGAAAATCCCTCATTTCTTTGGGGACTCCATCAAATACTCTCACTCTCCAAGAGTGACCAACTTAATGGTTAACCAGCCATTGAAGAGTATAGCAGCAATAATAAATGGGCAGGAGTGGAGAGGCAATATAATTTTTAAAGTCCCCCCCCCCCCAATTTCTTCATTTAAATGCTCAGATTGCATGACAATTCAGCTCTTCCCTTACTGGCTTATTGGATAAGGCCTAATGGCTTTTATTTTTGATTGAAGCATTGGCTTTGTGGTTTTCTGGAAAGTTTCAGTTTTAATTTTGAATGCAGCCCTGAGGCCTCGGCACTGAGTGAGGGAAAGCTGGGCCGGGGCAGCAAGTGAGCAGGCAAGGGATGCCATCACCCCGCCCCCCGCTCCTGTAAGTAGGAGTAGGATTGGGCTGCTCCGCTAGGCAGCATGATGCTCCCGCTTCCCAGTTTAGAGAGCCCCAACCTGTTGCTGCTTGCATGGGAACAGGAGCTGGATGGGGATGTTGAGCTGCCCGATCCTGCTCCTACTCGTGTGCAAGCAGGAGTGGAGGTGGGGATCTCTCAGCTGGGGAGTGGAGCCTTTGCACTCACCAGCTGAGTGGCCCAATCTCACTCCTATTTGCAAGCAACATTACCAACATTTCTGTGATGAAAATAAGGACATCTTGTTCCATACCTTCCAATATTCCCCCAATGAAAATAGGGACATCCTAAGGAAAACTGGAATATCCTGGGATCACATTGGAAACTATGATATCTTCTGTAAATCTGGGACTGTCCATTGAAAGTAGGGTGACATATAGAGATTGTTGGTTTGGCACTGGAATAACAGCAGAATCTCTAGCAGAGGAGTTATGTAAAACAGCCTTGGTCTTAAACAATTCCACTTCACATATAGAAGAAACTGAAGGAAAACCCCTAAGATTCTTTTTAATTCTTTCTTCTTATTAGTTGCTCTCTGTTGTTCAACTCAGGCCTCAAGACAATGATGTAGCATTTTGGAGTGAAGATGCAGCCCAATAACCCAGCACTGGAGGCCAAGATGGAGATGATCCCCACCACTACCATGTATTTCCCTTTGGTGCTCAGGTAAGTTGGAACAAAAGAAAGCCAAACACTGCAAAACAGCAACATGCTGAAGGTAATGAATTTGGCTTCATTAAAACTGTCAGGTAATCTGCGGGCCAGAAATGCCACAATGAAACTGGCAATCGCCAAGAGGCCCATGTAACCCAGGACACAGTAAAACAGGATTACGGACCCTTCATTACATTGCACAATGATTTCTGTGGTTACAGAGTGCATATCTAAATCGGGGAATGGGGGAGATGTCATCAACCACAAAGTACAAACAATAGATTGAATAAAAGAACAGGAAACTACAACAGAGTAGGTCAGTCTTTGCCCTACCCACCTCCTCATGCTAGAGCCTGGCTTGGTGGCCATGAAAGCTACAACTACAGTGATCGTTTTGGCCAACATGCAAGAAATAGCCACAGAGAAGATCATGCCAAAAGCAGGTTGCCTGAGAAGACAGGTCACTTTCCCAGGTATGCCAATAAATAGAAAAGAAGAGAGGAAGCAGAGCAGAAGAGAGACCAGGAGAGCGTAGGTGAGGGCTCGGTTGTTGGCTTTGACAATGGGAGTATCTTTGTGCTTCACAAAAGTGCCTAACACCAGGGTTGTGAGAAGGGAAGAAGACAGAGCAACAGAAGTTAGGCTGATCCTGAAAGGTTCTTCACAGGAAAGAAAGCTCATAGTTTTAGAGATGCATTGCTTTCTCTTCCTGTTTGGATATTGATCTTCTGGGCATATGAAGCAGTCGTGCATATCTGAAAAACAGGTCAAATTCCAAAGGCAATTAATGCGCTTTCTTTGCCTACTGTATATCAGTTGTCTAATTTTGACCTGCTCCTTCTTATTCTACCAACTCCATCTGGTGAAAGGTTACCCGATTTTTTTCAATGAATCCGGGGACACAACATATAAATAAATAAATAAATAAATAATAAATACTACATGTTCAGGACGTTGATGCTGCAGTGATGGCGTGGCAGAGGGGTGGCCACCACCTTGAGCCCAACCACAATGTTTCCCCTTCCTCTGAGGCTTCTATCTCCTTTCTCCATGAGCCTGGGCAGCCCCTGAGTTGTTGGCTCTTCGGTGGTGGTGGTGGTGAGGAAGCAGTGTGCTGTGGGTCAGGCATGGAAGGCAGAGAAGGAGGGCGGAGAGCGGCCCCAATCCCACTCCTATTTGCCTGCAAGTAGGAGGGGGGTGAGGATCCCTCAGCTGGAAAGGGAGGCTTCCCATTGCCTAACTGAGAGATCCCTGCCCCCTCCTGCTTTCACGCAAGTAGGAGTTAGGAGGCTGCTCCGATAGGCAGCATGAAGCCCCCCTTCACAGCTTAGTTGCTGGGGTCAGGGAAGGTGGAGGCAGCCTTGAAACTGCATCTTAGAGCCCCTGCACCACCATCATATGGGGACTTCCAAGCAGCACCTGAATCCAGCCAGAGCCAACTGCTCCGGGTTACTGAGACTGCCGCTGCTGTGTTTCCCAGGGACATTAGATGAAATCCGGGGACATTCCAGGAATGGAATTTGTCCAGGGACTTACCTTTGTGGGATTTACCTTTGAAGGTGACTCAGAAACAACCAGTAATCTAGAATGCGGAAGCTGTCAGGACTGTATAACACCAAAAGAACTACATTGTCTACCAGTACGTTTCCAATCTCAATTCAAAGTGTTGGTGCTGTCTTTAAATCCCTAAACAGCCTCAGCCCTGTATGCCTGAAGTAGCGTTTCTACCCACATCGTTCAGCCTGGACACTGAGATTCAGCTCTGAGCACCTTCTGGCAGCTCCCTCATTGCAAGAGGTGAGGTTACATGGAACCTGGCAGAGGACCTTTTCAGTAGTCACATCAGCAGTCCGAAGGGCACCATATAAATTAATAGTAGTAGTAGTAAATGATGTTAAAGTGACAATGCATTTTATTATCATACCAGGCTCAAGATTATCAGCATGTGCCAAATATTATGACTTCTTCACCTATTTGGACTTATTGCAGAGATAATTTAATAGCCACAAAGCCAATTATATCATTCATTAATTAATTTTAACCCAATGCATCACACTTAAATTATCAGATTGGGAATAGAAGTCATGTTTTTGCTACTTTTCTATGTCCTTGATTGACAGACCATATAAATATTCCTAGTATGTCATCATTCAACCATTTCCTATCTTAAATGAACATCTATCTTGCCTGCCCTTAAACTTTTTACTAGGATATACGGAGTTTGCACCTTTATTCTAAAACCTTGAATTACTCAATCAGTACACACCTGCAACAAAATCAAGCAATCAACCCAACTCCTGCATCAAAATAGGTGATACGTACTCCTGTATCTTTGAAATCATGCATCTTATATGAACCAGTCACATACCAAAAAGGTGCAATGCATCAAACATCAAAAATAAAGTATACCAAGATTGTTTTATGTAGTAGGTTTTCATTTGTGATGGACTACCGTGAGTTAAGTTGCAATAATATGATGTTCCTCTGATAATTTGGGATTTAAGGGTATTGGAAATTATACACTATAGATTTGTGTTCTTCAAGGGGAAATGTAGTACTGTGGTACCTAGGGTTAAGAACTTGTAAATAGAATCCCCTGCTGCTATGGGAAAGCACATCTTGGTTTAAGGATGCTTTGGTTTAAGAACACTTTGATTTAAGAACGGACTTCCGGAATGGATTAAGTTCGTAAACCAAGGTACCACTGTACTATAATTTTCTGATGTTATTGCTTTGGTGTGTTAATATGCAATAACTTTGTAATATTGGCTTGAAATGTACAGTATCCCTCTTTGATATAAGCTGCTTTGAGCATGATTTTGTTTATGGAAAAGCAGCATGCAAATAAAATGAATGGAAAGACGGATGGCAATCAATAGAATAAGGCTGGTCCATATGTATATATAGTGCGAAAGGCTGGAGTGAAGAAGTCGTCTTTAAAGAGCACATGGCAAATTGGTATTCACTATGCACTGAAGGTGCTAGACATCACACTGTAAATAACTCCAAAATTTAGTGGATGTCATAGAAGGCCCTTCCCGCAGCAAACAAGCTGTCAACCAGTACAGTTTTATTTACAGAAGAGAGCAAGATGCTGTAAAGGGACTTTGATAATTGAGAATCATATATTGCTGCTACTGAAAGTTAATAATATCACAAATGAAACCCACGCTGGAGGAATGGCAGACACAGTTGATGGACTATATGGAATTAGCTGTAATGACTGGCAGAATCCGAGATTTGGACGAAGAAACAACTGAGGCGGAGTGGAAAAATTTTTAAGATTACTTGCAAAAATATTATAAGTTGTATGAATCTTAAGTTAATGCACGATTAGGAAATGTTATGCATTAGCAAACAGGGTTAAGTAAATGGTAAAACAAGTGATAAAAGAGAAAAGGAGACAATGTGAATCAAACATATTATGTTTATTTTAAAGGTACTAAAATTGAGTTACAATATATTGAACCTGGAGACATAAAAACTGAAAGTTACAATAAGGTATGAAATAAGGTAACAAATTGCTGACATTGTTTTTTTTTTTTAAATAATTTTTATTGCATTTTTCAGACACAGACAGAAAACAGTAGGAGAAAAAATAAACGAAAAATGTAAAAGAAAAAAGAAAAATCATACCCCTTCAACAGCTTATTCCAACTTCCCATCAAACTTCCCCACATCTCCCGCACAATGCATTCTTAATAATAAATTTATCAGCAAATTGTAACCTTGTTTCATGTGTTTCTTTGGTACTTTCAATTGCAATTTAAATTTAAATCCCTTATTGTCCATTTACCCTAAAAACAAAACATATTATCATTCTTAACATTTAAACTTTGATTCTTTCAATAATATTATCCAATTTCATAAATATTGCACTCTCGTTGCTGGGGCTAGCATTTCAAATTGTGCGTCATTTTATAGTTCATATAACTTATAAAATTTTTGTAAATAGTTCTTAAATTTTTTCCAGTCCTCCTCCATTGCTTCTTCTCCCAGGTCTCGGATTCTGGCAGTCATTTCGGCCAACTCCATATAGTCAATCAGTTGCGTTTGCCACTCTTCCAGCGTGGGTAAATCTTGAGTCTTCCAATGTTTGGCGATCAAAATTCTTGCTGCTGTGGTAGCATACATAAAAAACGTTCTGTCCTTCTTTAACACCTTTTGGCCGACAATACCCAAGAGGAAGGCCTCCGGTTTTTTAGGGAAGGTGTACTTAAACACCTTTTTTAACTCGTTGTAGATCATTTCCCAGAAGGCCTTCACTCTTGGGCAAGTCCACCAAAGGTGAAAGAATGTTCCTTCAGCCTCCTTACACTTCCAACATTTGTTATCAGACAAATGGTATATCTTAGCAAGCTTGACTGGGGTCATGTACCACCTGTATATCATTTTCATAATGTTTTCTTTCAAGGCATTACATGCCGTAAATTTCATACCGATGGTCCATAACCTTTCCCAGTCTTCAAACATGATATTGTAACCAATGTCTTGAGCCCACTTTATCATGGCTGATTTAACTGTCTCATCCTGTGTATTCCATTTAAGCAGCAAGTTATACATTCTCGATAATACCTTGGTCTTTGGTTCTAACAACTCTGTCTCAAGTTTCGATTTTTCCACCTGGAATCCTATTTTTTTGTCCAATTTAACAACCTCGTTAATTTGGGCATAGTGAAACCAATCTCGCACCTTATCCTTTAAATTTTCAAAGCTCCGCAACCTCCAATTGTCACCAATTTTTTCTATTAATTCCCAATATTTCGGCCAACCGGCCTCCATATTGGGTTTTTTCCACGCCTTAGCCTCCACTGGTGATAACCACCTCGGTGTCTTACTTTCAAGTAAGTCTTTGTATTTCATCCAGACCATAAAAATTGCTTTCCTGACAATATGGTTTTTGAACATTCCATGTGTTTTTACCTTGCCGTACCACAGATACGCGTGCCATCCTAACGAATTGTTAAAACCTTCCAGGTCTAGGACATCTGTATTCTCTAATAAAATCCAATCTTTCAACCAGCAGAAGGCTGCCGCCTCGTAATATAACCTTAGGTCTGGCAGGGCAAACCCCCCTCTTTCTTTTGCATCAGTTAGTATTTTAAACTTTATTCGGGGCTTTTTGCCCTGCCAGACAAACTTTGAAATATCCCTCTGCCACTTTCCAAAACATTCCACTCTGTCCACGACCTGCAAGGTTTGAAATAAAAACAACATTTTTGGCAAAACATTCATCTTAACAGCAGCAATTCGGCCCAGCAAGGAAAGCTTCAGTCTCGACCATGTTTCCAAATCTTTCTTAACTTCTAACCAGCATTTCTCATAGTTATCCTTAAACAAGTTCAAATTTTTAGACGTCAAGTTTACCCCTAGGTATTTCACCTTCTTGACCACAACTAACTCTGTTTCCTTCTGAAACCCCTCTATTTCTAAGGGCGTCAAGTTTTTCCCCAAAACTTTAGTTTTTTGTTTGTTCAACTTAAATCCTGCCACCCGACCAAATTCTTGTATCAGTTCCAAAACTCTTTTTGTGCTAGATTCTGGCTCCTGTAATGTTATTACTAAGTCATCTGCAAATGCTTTCAATTTATATTGTTTCTCTCCGACCGTGATCCCCTGTATTTGCCGGTCCCTCCTGATCATGTTCAGCAAAACCTCCAGGACTGATATAAATAGTAGGGGGGATAGGGGGCACCCCTGGCGTGTTCCTTTTTCAATATGGAACTCCTCTGTCACCACATTGTTCACTATCAACTTAGCTTTTTGTTCTGAATAAATTGCTTCTATACCATTTTCAAACCCTCGTCCCACTCCCATCCCTTCCAAGTTTTTTTTCATAAATTTCCAAGAAATATTGTCAAAGGCCTTCTCAGCATCGATAAAGATTAACACTGCTTTAGTGTTAATATTTGTTTGTAAAAGTTCCAGAATATCGATTATATTCCGAGTATTGTCAAACAAATGCCTGCCAGGAAGAAAGCCTGCTTGGTCCTTATGGATTACTTCATTTAAAACCTTTTTCAGTCTACTTGCCAAAATATCTGCAAATATTTTGTAATCCACATTTAGGAGTGAGATGGGACGGTAGTTCCTAAGTTGGGTCTTTTCAGTTTCCACTTTGGGTATCAATGTGATGAAAGCTTCTTTCCACGTTTCCGGTGCCCTTCCTCCCCCCATAATCTGATTGCAAACCTCCATTAGTGGTAAAATCAAATAGTCTTTTAATGTCTTATAGTATTTGGAGGTACAAATTGCTGACATTGTTAAATCCAAGAATGCAGATCTGGAAGGTGTGGGGAAGTCCAACAAAGATTTATAGACAGTTGAATTATTTTATATAATCTCTTTTTTTGTATTTTTTTGTTAAAAAAAAATCTGTTTCTTGCATTGTTTTGTTCTCTGTACTTTTTGGATTGTACAAAATTATGAAAAGAAACGCAATAAAAAATATTATAAAAAAAATAATAATATCACAAATGAAAAGATTGCTTCAAAAGCTTCTTTCAAATTACGCTGGGTGGGATTTTGAAATAATAAAGATACTCCCGTTTTCACCAACTGGTGAATGACTTTCATTTTGGTTCTTCAGAGAATGATGTTGAAAATTTATTTGAATGATGTTGAAAATTTATTTATTGCTATGCTTCCTCAGTTCTGGGCAGGTGAAATGTTAGGTAGCTAGCACTAGCCTTTCCTAACAATTATATCTTCATCCTCCTGTTTCATATTTAATAATAATGTTTTTTTAAAAAAATAAAAATAATAAATAATGACTATTTATCAGTTCTATGAAAAGTGCAATGATTTTGGTCCCTAAGGAAGATCTATTTATGAATAGGACTCCATAAGAAGTCTATTCATCCTGAAAATCTGCCCAATCACCCCATTCAGTAATAATACCTGTGGAATCTTGTAGAGGCCTATGCTATCTCTCATATGGAAGGAGGTATCAGAGCTAAGTCCCCCAATGATGACCAAAAGGTTCTTCTGGAGGTCACATTTATAATTCGGGACAAATCTGTGAGATTTGAAAAGCAGGTCTAATGTGGCACGGTAGGTCATCCTTGCATCATGATAGCTATCATAGATGTGAAACCCAAGAGTGATATTAGGCAATATTGTGGGGTTCTCATTGATCTCTTTCACAGCAAATGTCAAGGCAAGTATGTGCTGGTAGAATTTTGTCACCATACTGCAAAAAAGTTATATAATTTACAGTTTCAGAGGAGATGTCTACAATGCATAAAATTAACATGCCACAGTTTTCCCCATTTCTGATTCAAATTGATTTTGATTGAAATTAAACAATGGTATTTGTAATTTATCGTTCTAATCTAAGAGACAAGAAACAGTGGATGAAAATGATGATTAAGCTGTGCTTCTGTGTTCTGCATGGTACTTCGACCAAACCACCTTGGTTTCCTACATTACCAATCTAAAATTCATTTCTTCACCTTTTCCCAGAAAACTTTATATAAAAAGACATAAGTCCTGACATAAATGCACCTGCCTAAATCACATTCGCTGCATGAACTTTTGCAAAACATACACATTTTAAAGGAACTGTGTTAAAATATAATGGGGGGTGGGAAGCAAATACACAGAGACACACACACAAAATCTAGCCCAGGAGCTTACGAATGTCACCATACTGTCTCAACCATCAGGCTAACCATTCTAAGGATAAGAAAGAAAAGAGACAACAAATAGACGTACGGTAGAGAGGAGACTCTTACTATGAAACGTCGAAGACAATCTGTGAAGGGTGTTCTCTGAAGAAAACTTCACAAAATATGTGAAAGATGTGAGAAGAAATCCCACCAATGATGAAGCCCCCTGGTTGGTACCACTCATGTGGAATAGGAAATGGATCATTCATTGGACACCTGATAGCATCTATTTTGCACTCAACAAACATTTGCATAAACAGGAACAACCATAGCAACAACATCCTGAAAGTGTATCTTTTATACTCTTGCAACAAACCTCTTCAGCAGAGATATTACCCAGTTTATCGAAAATATTTTTAGGTATTTTCAGATGTTTCACTCATTCTATAGTTTGTGTGGTCGCTGCCCTGGTTTCTTTTAAGAGGAATTGGCTAGAATTGATTGGCTGCAATCTACAAATTGCGGCAAATCTAAAAAAGTGACTTGTGAGCTGAATCTAAGCCTGAAATATGCTTTGATTTGTAGATAAAATTATCACCACCCATTTAAAGTCTGGCCAATAATATGAAGAAGGGAAGATTTCAAAAATAAAAGCGACATAGTTATGCCTGCCTCTTGCCCCTGTAGCAGGCTATCTGTGGCAAAATAAGTGAATTATTATAACCACTTCCAGGGTGGCTTATTGACTGTTTTCAAGTACCTACCAGAAAGTCTCGTGGGCTTTGACCAATTGAACTACATGTAATTATTTGCATAATTGCTTGAGGATATAACTTTCTCAGCATTTTAGCCCAGAGTGGCACTTTTGGCAACCAACATGTTGGATAGGGACATATATTAGGGACATGTCAGCACATGTGATGGGCGTGTCAAAAAACAGAAAGGTTTTGGGAAAACCTCTAATATCTTTAATTACAAAGCAGACAGCTCCCATGACTCTAGGACTAGCTCTACATAAATTTTATTGTCATGATATGTTGCAGATTAGAAATAAAGAACTCATAAAACATCTATTAACCATTGCAATAACAACTGTTGCCAAGGCATGGAAATTAATATAATATAATATAATATAATATAATATAATATAATATAATATAATAATATAATAATATAATATAATATAATAATATAATATAATAATATAATATAAAATAAAATAAATTTTAATAAAAATAAAAAAAATTAATAAAAATTTATAAAAATTTCAAAGTGGTTTACAGCATATTAAATCAATAAAACAATAGCCAGGTGAGGTTCCTCTGGCCTCATGAGGAGCCTCTTTCCTAGGGCTGGGTGAGTCTGGGCCTCGCCCCTTAGGCCTGGTGGAAAGTGTCTCGCAGGGAGCAGCCTACACAGCTGGGCAATGTTCTCCATCCCTCCAGAAATCAACTTGTTGGCCCACATTTAATTCAGGTTCAGGTACAGGTACTGCTCCAGGGGTTTCACAACCTCTCATGATTTAGATGTTACAGCAAATTGGAGCTCAACAAAAAGTCACAGGCTGTTTCCTATCAGGATGAAATTAAATATTTCCTCTCTGAAAACTCTTGTCATATGCTTTGTATTCAATAGCCCTGTTTTCTACCTTCCAATTAATTCATAAATGCTCACATTCTACCAGAATACAACTCTTCCCTTAAAGGTGTGTTTTAACGTTCATATTGCATCACAATACAATTCTTCCCATTTTCCTAGTTTCCATCTATCACCAGGTCTGAGGCATAGAGACAGTTCTATGAGTTTGGAGTGAGGTTGGAATAGCAGCAGAATTTCTATAGGGAGGCTATAGTAAAAATGTCATTGATTTTAAACAACACCACTTCATATATAATAAGATGGTGAAGGAAAATTACTAGGGTTCTTTTTAATTCTTTCTCTTTATTAGTTGCTCTCTGTTGTTCAACTCAGGCCTCAAGATAATGATGTAGCATTTTGGAGCAAAGATGCAGCCCAATAACCCAGCACTGGAGGCTAAGATGGAGATGATCTCCACCACTACCATGTATTTCCCTTTGGTGCTCAGATAGGTTGGAAGAAAAGAAAGCCAAACACTGCAAAACAGCAACATGCTGAAGGTAATGAATTTGGCTTCATTAAAACTGTCAGGTAATCTGCGAGCAAGAAATGCCACAATGAAACTGGCAATGGCCAGGAGGCCCATGTACCCCAGGACACAATAAAACAGGGTCACTGACCCTTCATTACATTGCACAATGATTTCTGTGGTTACAGCGTGCATATCTACATCAGGGAATGGGGGAGATGTCATCAACCACAAAGCACAAACAATAGATTGAATAAAAGAACAGGAAACTACAACAGAGTAGGCCAGTCTTTTCCCTACCCACTTCCTCATGCTGGACCCTGGCTTGGTGGCCATGAAAGCTACAACTACAGTGATCGTTTTGGCCAGCATGCAAGAAACAGCCACAGAGAAGATCATGCCAAAAGTAGGTTGTCTAAGAAGACAGGTCATTTTCCCAGGTTTTCCAAGGAACAGCAAAGAAGAGAGGAAGCAGAGCAGAAGAGAGACCAGGAGAGTGTAGGTGAGGGCTCGGTTGTTGGCTTTGACTATGGGGGTATCTTTGTGCTTCACAAAAGTGCCAAACACCAGGGTTGTGAGAAGGGAAAAAGAAAAAGCAACAGAAGCTAAGCTAATCCCAAAAGGTTCTTCATAGGAAAGAAAGCTCATAGTTTTGGAGATGCATTGGCTTCTCATCTTGTTTGGATATTGATCTTCTGGGCATCTGAAACAGTCATCCATATCTGAAAAACAGGTCAAATTCCAAAGACAATTGATGTGCTTTCTTTGCCTTCCATATCAACTTGCTGATTCTTAGTGATTAGATGGTAACATCACATTTTGATATCATACCAGGCTCAATATTATCATCAACACCAGTATGTGTCAAACACTCCTGCTGCTGCACCAATTTGGGCTTGTTGCAAATATAATGTATGAGGCCCCACAGCTAATGATATTCATTATTTTACCATAACTCAATGCACCACATTAACATTTATCAAACTTGGAGTTAAAGGAAACTTAACTTGTTGATATCCTTGAGAGATAGACTAGATATATGTTTTCTATCTTGAACTAACAACAATCTCTCCTGAACATAACCTCATTTATAGGATATAAATGAGTTCACACCATTCTTCTTTAAAAATGCATTTCTCAGTCAATCCACACCTACAACAAAATGTACCAAGTGACAAAACTCCTGCATCACAATAATGGTTACCTCTGTATCTTTGAAATCATGCATCTTATATGAACCAATCACATACCATTCTGAAAAAGATGCAATGCAATAATAAAGTATAGCAACATTGTTTTATGTAGTCGATTTTTGTTGTGGAGGGCCACCATGAGTTATGTTACAATAATATAGTATTTATCTGATAATTCGGGATTCAAGGGATTTAGCAATTATGTAATATACTTTTGTATTTTTCAAAGGAAATGTAGTATAACTATCCCACCAGGCCTTTGGTCAGGGCGCAGCCTGACTCCCTCCTCTGGCAACCTGCATAGAATTTTGCCTAATCGGTTGCCATCAATTTGATTTTAATTAATTTTTATAATGAAATATTTTTAGAAGGTGTGATTATTCAACTGTTTGATTATTTGATTGTTGTTAGCCGCCCTGAGCCCAGCTTCGGCTGGGAAGGGCGGGATATAAATAAAATTTATTATTATTATTATTATTATTATTATTATTATTATTATCCCATCTTTGGGGCATCAAATTGCTCATTGCGTGGTCACCAATCTTACCCTTACTGGGGTAAATTTATCTTTATCTTTAAATGTCAAAAAGCTCTGTTAAGCACATTAATTGTATTTTCTCAGCATATATGCCAAAGGTTTGCCCTTGACTCTTAAATATTTATTTCTGCTGATATGGAATGGGGCAAACCCTCCACCTTAATGTGGCATCTGTTGCAGAGGGAACTGAGGTGAAACAGCTATCAGACACAGAACCTGTGGCATATAATCAAGTTTAGATCTTACATCTGAACAGATTTAATTAGTTGCGTGTTGAGGTCCCCAGGGCCATCCCAATAACTCACGCATCACACAGAATTTTTTTGTTTAAGATTTTTGGCATAATTTTGGCCACAACTTTATTAAAATACAAATTTGTGAGTGGTTGCTTAGGCATTGGTTGCGACTATCTGCCCCCACAGTGGGGGACAGACTGACATTCCGCACAATGTGAAAGTCAAAATAGGGGAATACACTTGGGGGTAATGACGGAGCAGGGAACCTGCCCTCACCCCAAATGCAACCAGGAGCTCATTGCTATAGCCCGAGCCCCCTTGACAGAGTGGACAAGCAATAGTTATCCCCCAATTCCTTTAACAGAATCCCTTGCAGCAGCAGCATTAGAGGGGCAGGCACTCAACCTACCAAGGGCAGGCACTCAACCACTGCCCCTCAACCAACCAAACCATAAACCAATGCCTAACCACAACCTTACAAGTTGTGACGATTTGCTACGCAGTAGGCAAAAACCAAATGGCCCCAGCCAATCAGCCAGATGGACAAAATTCCTACCGGGCCCCTGCCCCAAGAGCAGACGACCCCATGACAGGCATAGCAAGGTCAAAGCGAACAATCCTAATTCTAGGGAGGGGGAGATGGGCAATCCGATGCACGGGCGAAAAGAGGAAGCCCTAGCCTCGTGCAAGGAGTTTTAGCATTCCTGGCTGTCAATCAACAAATGGCAACATTAACTTCTTCCCAACAACAAGGGAAGCCCCAATCGCATCAGTGGCCAACGATCAATTAGCCCGCCCCCAACTTTGGAGTGTCCTGGCGGCCCCCACCGCAACACGTGCTCTCCATGAAGAAGAACACACCCTAATCACCATCATCATTTCCATCATCGTTATCACTTGACTTCTGAGGTTATAGTAGTCTTGCTTAAACTATCTGAATATGTCTACTTTTTTAATGTCTTAAAGTATATGTTCTGGCAGCTTACTTATATGCACAGCATGGTAAACAAATATTTGTAATTAGGTCTTAAGCACAATCCATAATAAAACTTTGTTATGAAAATAAAAAATGATTTCTTTCTCTTGTACCATTCTGGTCTGAAATCTTGCCTTCTGGACATGCAGCACAATCATAGCAGCAAAATTTTTCACCTTCCTTCCTTTTCTTCTGATGACCAGGGGGGCAGTGCTCATTGCACACAGAAATGGGCATCACCTATCCATAAACATGAAGGGGTTACAGGTTGGATTTTATTTTTATTTTTAAGTTATCCTACTGAATTGATTGCAAACTCATTCTATGATGGGCAGTCAGGGCATGCAGATATAGCAGTAACCAGAGAATGAATGACTTCTGATGACCAGGGGGGCAGTGCTCGTTGCACGCAGAAATGGGCATCACCTATCCATAAATAGGAAAGGGGTTTCTGGTTGGAGAGCAAAAAGAAGTTCTCTTTCTGAATTTCTTATAAAATGAAGATTTGCACAAAATGCAGCTGTATCTCTGGTCTGACATTCAAGTCCTCTTGCTTTCTAGTTTTATCAAAAGTTGTTTCTAATGTTTACCAATCCAATTAAGACATGCAAAGGATTGGAAGAGGGGACTTCACATGTTCAGCACAATTTCTTCAACTGAGATTTATGCAATGTAATCAGAGATAACCTAATGCTGGCTCACTAAAATATTTGCTTCAGATCCCTCAGATGAGGCATAGCTTTAATCTACAACAGATACACCATTGATTGCTGATGATTTGGTTTTGCGACTAGGATTTCAATGTGCTAGTTATCTGGGTCTTTAAGAGCCTGGTGCACATATAATTTGGCAGTGTTTTGCCTAGGCTTTCATTCTGCTAGACAGCAGTGTTATCCCTATGATATTTTTCAATAGAAAGAGGATTTGCAGGAAAAAAATAAATTTTGTGTCTGGACACATTTGTACCTTAGAACAGACAAAAAAAAAATATCCTGTTAGGATTCTTACCTGGTTAAAACCTTTGTGCCACATTATCATGTCCTCATGAAGGATGAATTTCTTTCCTTCAGGTGCACTATAATCCACCTCTCCAACTTTCACTCGAAGGAAAGATCTGTTTGGGAATATGACCATGTTCATGATGTCAAATCCACCTACCATTTCCTTTTTAACACTAAAGGACAGTGTTTCTCCATCCGAATTGTTAAATGAAATGTCAGGAAGGTAAAGATGGAGCTGATTGAAATAAAAAAGGAGGAGTGACAGAAATGAAGATTATGAATATAATGCCGTGATATAGAAACACACATTTTACTGTTTGTGCTTGTTAGTATTATCTAAGAATGACAAAAAGTGAAAAATAAACAATTATGCCATAGAAGATAAAAACCTTCATTATACATGGAAGACTAAATGCCTTTCCAGGCCAGAAAGTGCAAAATATAATTTAGATATAATAATAACAACAATAATATAAATAAATAAATAAATAAATAAATAAATAAATAAATAATAAGATATTTATTCCCCACACATCTGGACGGCTTCCAACAAATGGTTAAAAATACATTAAAACTTCAGTCATTAAAAACTTCCCTAAACAGAGCTCCCTTCAGATGTCTTCTAAATGTCAGATAGTTGTTTATTTCTTTGATATCTGATGGGAGGGCATTCCACAGGGTGGGCGCTACTACCGAGAAGGCCCTCTGCCTGGTTCCCTTCAACTTCTCTTCTCACAGTGAGGGAACCACCAGAAGGCCCTCAGAGCTGGACCTCAGTGTCCGGATTGGACGATGGGTGTGGAGATGCTCCTTTAGGCCATTTTGTGCTTTAAAGGTCAGCACCAACACTTTGAATTGTGCTTGAAAATGTACTGGGAGCCAGTGTAGGTCTTTCAAGACTAGTGTTATGTGGTCTTGGCTGCCGCATTCTGGATTAGTTGTAGTTTCCGGGTCACCTTCAGAACTAGTCCCACGTAGAGCGTAATTTCCAAGCTTGTAAAAATATTTAAATGCAGATTACCATTTCATTTTTTAAGGGCTTTTGCAAATGACAATGTGGACCAAGCTCATTACCTGCCAAGACTGCAGATCTTGAAATTCAAATATGTTATGACCCATCATTGCTCTTTGCTTGGATCTTGTTAAAGAAATGTCATGTAAAGCATGAGCCACCACATGGACAGCATTGTATATACTGTAGCTGTGGCCAGTCATGCTCATTTCAAAGAATGGATCAGGAAGACTCTCCAGTCTCTCCTCTCCAGAACATTGTTCACTTGTCTCCATTGGCACACTGGGATTGGGAAAATCACAGTCAAATGCTTGCTCCCAGAAGTCCTTCAGAAAACCATTTTCTTTTATTCCATCAGGTTTTATGCTCTGAAGAAACTCAAGGAACCCTAGAAGCTCTTTTGAGTGAATTGTGAAGCAAATGGCACCTTGGAAGAGACCAAGATCCCAGCTCCTTTGAAGCCCCAACAATATGAAATCAATCTGAGTTGTTATGATCCAAACTTTTGTAACTGATGCAATATCATTTTTTTTAAGATCTTGCAGAAAAAAGAAAATAGCTGTCAGCCATATGAGCGCCATAGATTCTCCATAGATGATAGATGTCTGGGCTTTGTCATCCTTGACCACCTTGTGAGTACTTAATAGGACATTGTAAACTTCATCTATGTTATCATAACGGGGTAGTTTGGGGATTCTTTGTGTGAAGGCTGAACAGATTCCATTTTTGGAAAACAATGGCTCCATCATCTGCAAGAAATTTTCTCCACCTTCATCATCCACAACAATGAGTCCAACCCACGTCCATCCAAAATGCTTAAGCAAGCTGATTATTCCCATGTATTGATGGGCTTCATTTGGAACCATGCGGTAGAAAGAAGAGATCTGACTTGTATCACTCTCACCCTCAGTGGGAAATGAACCATAAGTGAGCTAAAAGAAATTGCATAGATTTACAGAAGTACATTGTGAACGATGACTCTTTCATTTAATTCTCTACAACTATGAATATATGTCCATATTTTTTTTAAAAAATAAATCATTATGCCTTTTATGGGAATTTACTTCTTGCTTTTAAGAAGTGAGTATTAAGTACAGGCACTTTCTGAATCTTGGAAACACAGCTATAATAACATCATGATATCATGGGGGAAGTGTTTTCCGCTAGCCACCCTTTGCCCTTGGAAGCCTGTTAAGCAGCTTCGGCACGTGAGGGGCTGTGAGAAACATAATGGGAGCGATGTTTTTGGACCTGGGGGAAACTGTGAAGTTCCCTTTTTATTTTGTTATTAGGTGCTGAATGTTTTCTAAGTAATCTTGTTTTATTTATAGCATAAGAATGAGGGGGGGGGTGGCATGTCATTATTTTTGATATCATTATTTTTGCTATGGTATAATATTGTTATTGTTTGCTATGCTATGACATTCTTCTTGTGGCATTGCTTTGGTGTGTTATTATGAAATAGATTTTGAAGTGTTGGCTTGAAATGCATCCCTGTTTCTTTGTTATGAGCTGCTTCGAGCAAGATTCTGTTTATGGAAAAGCAGCATAGAATGAAATGAATGGAAAGATGGATAATAATCAATAGTATAGGGTTGGTCCATATACTATGCGGGACATGGGTGGCGCTGTGGGTTAAACCACAGAGCCTAGGAATTGCTGATCAGAAGGTAGGTGGTTCGAATCCCCGCGACAGGGTGAGCTCCTGTTGTTCGGTCCCAGCTCCTGCCCACCTAGCAGTTTGAAAGCACGTGAAAGTGCAAGTAGATAAATAGGTACCGCTCCGGCGGGAAGGTAAACGGCATTTCTGTGTGCTGCTCTGGTTCACCAGAAGCAGCTTAGTCATGCTGGCCACATGACCCAGAAGCTGTACGCCGGCTCCCTCGGCCAGTAATGCTAGATGAGCGCCGCAACCCCAGAGTCGGCCACAACTGGACCTAATGATCAGGGGTCCCTTTACCTTTACTTATAGGGTTGGTCCATATGTATACATGGTGTGAAAGGCTAGGGTGAGGTAGTGCATCTTTAAAGAGCACCAGGCAAATTAGTATTAACTATACAGTGGTACGTTGGTTCTCAAACTTAATCTATTCCTGAAGACTGTTCAACTTCCAAAACATTCAAAAACCAGGGCACAGCTTCCCATTAGTTGCAATGGCTTCATAAATTCAGCGGAAGCCACATGGCACATTCGAGTTCTGAGGTGCATTCGAAAATGGAAGCATGTTCAAAACCAGAAATGTTCAACAACGGAGACGTTCGAAAACCGAAGTACCACAGTACACTGAAGATGCTAGACATCCCACTGCAGAGAATTCAAAATTTTAGGGGCTGCCACATAGCAAGCAAACTGTCAACCAGTAAGGCTTAATTTAAAACGTGGTTATATGAGCTCTAAATGGAATTCCAGTTTATAATCTGGTCACAAGGGCACTAGGGGAGGATGTTTCAATTAAATCAACTATTGTTGACGGATAGTCCTGCAAAATGGCCATGGCTGGGAGAGAGCAAGATGTGGTAAAGGGACTTTGATAATTGAGAAACATATATTGCTGCTGCAATATGTTATAATATCACAAATATGAACATTTTTTTCTAGTGGAAGGCAATAATATCACAAATAGCATCTTTCAAGTTATGCTGCTTGTTGGGTAGGATATGGAAATAACAAAGATACTCTGGTTTTCCCCAACTGGGTAAGTCTTTCATTTTGGTACCCTCAGAGAATGATGTTAAAAATGTATTCATTGCTATGCTCCCTCCATTTTAGGTAGGTAAGATTTAGGTAGCTAGCACTAGCATTTCCAAACAATCTCATCTTCATCCTTGTTTTATATTTAATAATAATGTTTTAAAAATAAATAATAGATATTTATTAGTTCTACAGAAGGTGCAATGATTTTGGTCCATAAGGAGTCTAGTCATCTTGGAAATCTGCCCACCAGACCCATCCCATTCAGAGATCCTACCTGTGGAATCTTGTAGAGACCTATGCTGTCTCTCATATGGAAGGATGTATCAGAGCTAAGTCCCCCAATGATGGCCATAAGGTTCTTCTGGAGCTCACATTTATAATTGGGGACAAATCTCTGTGATTTGAAGAGCAGGTCTAAGGTGGCTACGATAGGTCATTCCTTGCATCATGATAGCTATCATAGATGTGGAACCCAAGAGTGATATTGGGCAAGATTGTGGGGTTCTCATTGATCTCTTTCACA